CTGGAGAATCCCAGGGACAGAGGAGCCTGGCAGGCTACAATCCATGGGGTCACAAAGAGTCAGACACGACTGGGTGGCTAACACTGTCTCTAGGCAGAGGGTCGATGGGACCTAAGTGTACCTCACTAAAGCCAACCTGCCCATTGACTGTACATGTGCACCCAGGAACACGGGTGGCCCTAGCTGAGGCTACCGTGTCGTGTAAATTTCACAATCCTACAACAGATAAAGTAGGGCCTACCTTCCTTCACAAAACATTTTCCAAGCATGTCGTTGAATATGAGATTCCTCGTATGCATTTGGACAGTTCGTTTTCCTCGCAACTTTTGGGGAATGGATATATTGAAAGTGAGATATGAAATTAGGAGACGAATTGGCAGAGATCAGTCTGTTTTCAGGGAGTCATGTAACCAAGTTCTGTATCACTGCACATGCCAGAAAAGTTGGAGAGGGAACCGAGCCAAACTAGCAACATCTGCTTCAAAGGGTTTGGCGTAGGTCCTCAAAACATCTGGCACCGCGTGGTAGCATTTGTCACTCCGCTGAACAGCTAACCTTCTGCAGTTGGCCTCGACCAGAGGAGCAGAGGGCCAGGGACCCTGTGTGAGAAAATGCGGTTCTAGCTCTCGTTTTTCTGTGTCTGAGCTCAACTGCCTTGGGCCACCTGCTGATCTGTCTGTGCCCAGGTTTCTTCTGTAAAATAGAGATCCTTATACCCGCTTCTTAGGGCTCTTTGGAGGACCAGAGGAAGTAATTGACAGCCCCATGGGTGCCCAGTGTACACCTGAAACTTATCACAACGTTATAAATCAACTGTACTCCAATAAAAATTAAATGGTTTTTAGCTGTTGGGGGGTAACAGCTTCCTTAAGTGTATAATCTTCTCCATTGGGGTTCTTTAGGTCTAGGTTCTGTACAGGGTCAAGGAAGTCAAATTGAGAGACTGTTGAGCTATTTTTCAGAAGCCACTGGAGCAAAAAGACCAACATTTCTAGGAGAGGTAAGGAATTTAAGAGCAGCACAATGGTGCCAGCCAATGGTGGATTTCAGGCCTGAGAGAAACCTGATAATGAATCATTCTGAAGCCTAGTCAGTGACAAAGATGACTTTTGCCCAGACATTGGCATGTTTGAGTCTTTAATGCAGGAAGTGTTGAAAGAGCCTAATGAATACTTATTCATTGAGTCAAATCCAAGAGTTTGAAGAAAAAGTGCAAAATTTATATTCTGGGTACCCCTGTGGCAGGTGAGATGTGACCCTGAGGGAAAATGCTAAATCAGACCCTGCTCCAGTGGGTGGTGGGTCCCAGAGCCTCACGCTGGGCCCTGGACTGTTGAGCAGATCACGTTCCCAGGAAGGACAGATTGATGGGCTGCATTGGGCACCATTGGGAGAGGGAGTAAGAACTGTCCTTGGCACCTCACCTCAGCTCTTTCTGGGCTGCCCTCGTGGTTCAGACAGTGAAGAATCTGCCTGCAATGCAGATAGACTCAGTTTCAACCCCTGGGTCAGGAAGATCCCCCTGGAGGAGGACATGGCAACACAGTCCAGTATTCTTGCCTGGAGAATCCCAAGGACAGAGGAGCCTAGCAGGCTACAGTGCATGGGGTTGCAAAGAATCGGACACGACTGAGTGATTAACACTTTCAATTTCAGCTCTTTCTGACCCATCTGACACCAGTCCAGAGACTGGATAGTATATTCTCCTAGGACTCCATAACCAAGGAACCACAAACTGGGTGTCTTAAAACAACAGAAGTGTATTTGCTCAGAAGTCTAGAGGCTGGAGTTATCAGCAGAGCCCTGCTCCCTCTGAGACTCTGGGTAGAATCCTTCCTTGTCTCTTCCAAGGAAGGGCCTTCACATGAGTCCAGGGCCCAGAGTGAGGCTCTGGGACCCATAACCCACTGGAGCAGGGTCTGATTTAGTGTTTTTCCTCAGGGTCACACCTCACCTGGCACAAGGGTACCCAGCATATAAACTCTGCACTTTTTCAAACTCTTGGATTTGACTCAATGAATAAGTATTCATTAGGCTCTTTCAACACCTCCTGCAATCCTTGGCATTACTTGGCCTGCAGCTACATCACTCTGATCTCTGCCTCTGCCAGCACATGGCGGTCTCTTTATTAGAACCCCAGTCACACTGAATAAGGGCCCACCCTAATAGCCTCTTCTTTGGTTTTTTAAAAAATATTTATTTCTATTTATCTGTGCATGCTAAGTCACTTCAGTTGTGTCCAACTCTGTGCGACCCTATGGACTGTAGCCCGCCAGGCTCCTCTGTCCATGGGATTCTTCAGGCAAGAATACTGGAGTGACTTGCTATGCCCTCCTCCAGGGCATCTTCCTGATCCAGGGATCAAACCCACGTCTCTTATATCTCCTGCATTGGCAGGCGAGTTCTTTATCTCTAGCGCCTATTTGGCTCCACCAGGTCTTAGTTGTGGCACACAGGATCTTTAGTTGCAGCATGTGGGATCTAGTTCCCCGACCAGAAATTGAACCAGGCCCCCTGCATTAGCATCACGGAGTCTCAGCCACTGGACCATCAGAGAAGTCCTCTGATCGCCTCTTCTCAATTTGATTACACCAGCAAAGACCCTGTTTCCAAATAAGGTCACATCCACAGGTACCGGCAGAGGGGAGGGGGGGGGTTAGGATTTCACAATATCTTCTAAGGGAAAACAGTTCAGCCGTAACGTGTGGTAAGAGTGATGCCTTTGATAAGCAGGCTGCAGCACAGGCCAAGAAGGTAGTCAACACAGGTGTCTTGCCCTGTGCCAGCAAGGGGGCAGATCGAAACAGCAAGTTTCACCTGTCAGGAGTCTCAGGAACACTCATATCCTTTCATCCAGCAACCTCCCACTAGGAATCCAGCTGGAGAAAGGCATCAAAAATGTTGATAAAACAATGCACAGAGGTCTTCTCAGTGTTGTTAGAAACAATGTCAACGTCCACCAGTTAAGGATGGTTATTAAAATAAGCCGCTTCCCACATGAGGGGGTGCGAATAACTTTTAGAAATGACATTTCCAGGAAAAAAAAAAAATTGAAACATGGAAAAAATGAAATGATATATTCCATATGTTGTCAACTTTATTTAAAAAATGGACATAGAAGAAAAGAGTCAATATAATGTTAACAGTCTCCCCCCTTCTTGGGAGAGATTATGAGTGATTTTTTAAAAAATTATTATTATGGAGCTATGTATGTTCTCTGCATTAGCTTGATAACCAAGGAGAAAAAAACCTTAATGTTATTTTAAAAATAGGTATATAAATAGTTTCCTGGAATATAATTCCAGGAAAGTTCTGGCCGGGAGGAGTGTAGCAGCTGCTGGGTGTCCAGCTGATTTCTGTGTTTATAAGCCATAGCCGTAACCTCTCTAGAATTTCTCAACATGTAGTTGGATGGCTCTTTTCCTCAGAATTACCCATGATGCTTATTTAAAAATGCAGAATTCTAGGCCCCACCCCAGGCCTACTAAACTGGGCCCAGGAATTTGCATTCTTACAGGCTCTGCACACTTGAGTTTGAATTCCCCTTATCATAGAGGCTAGGGACAACCCACTCATCAGTAATCCAGCATGGATCCAGCATGGTTTCTCACAACAGTCGTTTTGAGGAATAAAACCAAATAAGCAGAGAAGTTATTCTTTTTATAAAGTTCACTCTTGGTTGTCCCTAGGACAGGAAGCTGCAAACCAAATATTCAAAAGAATAGAAAATTCATAATTTTATTTTATTTTGGAATTAAGCAACAGCAGGTAGGGTGTCTTAATTTATGTTGGGCTAATAATGAAAACGAGTTAACATTCCAGACTCTAGCCTAATAAGAGATAAAGTGTTAGCCCCTAAGTCGTGTCCGACTCTTCGCGGCCCTGTGGATTGTAGCCCACCAGGCTCCTCTGTCCATGGGGTTTCCCAGGCAAGAATGGTGGAGTGGATTGCCCTTCACTTCAGGGGATCTTCCTGACCCAAGGATTGAACCGAGGTCTAATCTGCCTATATTGCAGGCAGATTTCTTTACTGTCTTGAGTCACCAGGGAAGTCCCTAGCCTAGGTTGGAATTAAGAAAAGTAGTTGCAGGAGAATGTTGGCCCGCATGAAAAGCTTTGCCCTATTACCAAGCGTGTATTCCACATGCCGTTAGTTCAGCATCATAATTATAGATGTGTTCACATTTAACTCACAACCTGAAGCTGAAGCTCTAATACTTTGGCCACCTGATAGGAAGAACTGACTCATTGGAAAAGACCCTGATGCTGGGAAAGATTGAAGGCAGGAGGAGAAGGGGATGACAGAGGATGAGATGGTTGGATGGCATCACTGACTCGATGGACATGAGTTTGAGTAAGCTCTGGGAATTGGTGATGGACAGGGAGGCCTGGCGTGCTGTGGTTCATGGGGTCGCAGAGTCGGACACGACTGAGCGACTAAACTGAACTGAGGTGCCCTTAATGACTGGTTTAGAGGAATGATGTTGGAAGATGGAAAGTTCTCCACTTGGAGGGGCATGCCGGCTTATGGCAGGGGCTGGCTGAGACCACCCTCCCAGTCCTGTGGGCTGTGACTTGTCCAGACCCAGAGGAGCTGTAGCGTCGGGTGGGACAGAGAAGAGAGACAGCTGTGTGATTAGCCATCTAGTCAGTAGGTGAAACCCAACACCACAAGGAGGCCAGCGTTCAGGGTATTCGTCCACACTTGTTGCTTCAGGGAGAAAAGATGAGCCATCGGGAGAACGAAATATCCCGAGAATGAAGACAGCTACGTGTGGGAGCCATAATTAAAAAAAAAAAAGAACTGAGAGCTCCAGCAGCTGTGGAACTCTGCCCCAGCCTGACAGGGGCATGTCCCCTCCCCAGGCCCTCTCTAGAGTGATGGCGTCAGGAAGCAGGTCGCCCTGTGCCTGACCTGACCTGTTTGTGTGTGTGCGGGGGGGGGTCTTTCCGGTTGTGCTGTGTTGTAATCACCAGTGCTCTGGCCGGAGTGGATGGGAAATGAGAGCTGGGTGGGCAGGACCCTCGTCTGCTCACCAGCTCTGGGAGGCCCCCAGCCTTCAGGCTGAGAGTGGGCAGCTGGGGAGGCCGCGCCAGACGGGCCTTCTTCCCTGCGGCAGTGCGAGGGAGCGCGGGAAGGCCTCCAAAAGGGTTAGGACCCGTCGAGGGAAAGAAATGTCAAAGGAAGCCCTGTATCTTTCATACAACGTATAATTAACTCTCAACAGAAAGTGCCATGAATTCATAATGGGAGCCGACAGCGAGGGAGGAAGGCTCTGACAAGCATGAGATTTGTCGTGGGTTTTTTTTTTTTTAATTTTTTAAAGGAACACCAACAGTTGCAGCTATAATCATGGACCTCCTCCAGTAGTAAGTGTCTCCCCAGCCGGATCATGCTGTCTTCTGCCTGACCCGGACCGGGTGAGCAGGAAGCGCTTCTCTGCCTCGGAGTTCTCTCCAGGCCCCCAGTGCTCAGGGGTTGGGGGCCGTCAGCAGCCACCGCTCTGTCAGCCTCGGGAGCCGGCCCCAGGGCCCTCTCCTCCCCAGGAGCCATCCTCAGAGTCATCCGGGGTCTGCAGCCAGCAGCTCCTGAGGTCGCCCTTCTGGCGGAGCCCAGGCCTCCTCCCTAGTGCCCTGCCCTCTTCGGGCAGCTGCAGGCTGTGAGGAAGGGTGGGGCGGCTGGAGAAGAAAGGCGGGGAGCCCCTGGGTGGGGTGGTTGCAGGTGGGCAGGGCCTGGGCGACCGCCAGAACAAACTGGGGCCAGCGCACTCCCCTCTGGCCACAAAGGGCTCAGTATGAGCGACACGCCCGCCCCATGTGCAAGTGGGAGGCTCACTTTTCCTGACAGAGGAGGCGCCCGTTCCCAGACCTGGAGGCTGAAGCCTGCTGGGCAGGTGCGCCCCCACCACCCCCCGCCCCAGTCGTGGGCTCCTGGTGACCCGTCTAGGTGGCTTCAGCCCCTCTTATCCTCTGGTCTGCACATGAGGGTGGAGAAAGACCTGGAGAGGCCACTTAACTCCACAGGACATGGGCATCTGCCTTTTCTTCCTCTGAGAAAGAGCCTTCCTAGGTCCACTCCCCTCCCCTACACAGAGACACTCATGTGTGCACTCACAGACACACATTCATTAGCTCCCAGTCTAAATGAGGGAAGGTCCCCCCCAACCGTACTCAGACTAGCCAACTCTATTGTGCAGACCCTTCCACTTCCCCCAGGCCATTGCCTCAAAGAAGTTAGACTAGGCCCCAGAGAAGTCAGGCCTGGCAACATGTAACAAGAACTGTTGTACTGACCACAGTACATCTTTGCTGATTCTCACAGATCCCCTGGGGTGGCTATGCCGTGCCATGGAAAAGGATGGGTCAGGAAGTTACTGAAACCTTCCCTGCGCCTGGTGGGCTTTGGGTTTTACAATGAAAGAGTTGGTAAATCAGCTCTACTCCAATAAAAAAGGTAAAAATCAAATGAAAAAAAGTTAAGAGAATACTTTGTCTATGCTCTCTTCATCAATCAGTCAGGCTGAGAGCCACAGGGTCGCAGGGCGGTCCACACAGTTCCTGCAACCCTACTGCATCGTGTGGGCCCTGCGGCCTCTGCAAGCGGGAGGGGCAGGCATGGTCCTCTGACCACTGCTGAAGCCAGTGGTAGTGGATGAGAAGTGGGCAGTCTCTGAATGTAGGGCTTTTCTCGGTCCTGTGCTCTGAACTATGAAGAGGACATTCATATATTGAACATATTTCTTGGACACCATCTAGAAAATAAATATTTCCTGCTCTCAGGAGCTTACATTTGACACAAAAGCCTGGGAGCTTCTCTGCATTCATTTCCTATAGCTGCTGTAACAAAGCACCCCAGATTGGGTGGCTTAAGCAACAGAAATGTTATTTTCTCACAGTTCTAGATGTTAGCAATCCAAGATCAAGGTCTTGGCAGGGTTGGTTCCCTCTGAGTCACCCCGATTTCTTCCTGAGTCTTCACATGGTGTTCTCTCTGTGTGTCTGTGTCCAAATTTCCCCTTTTTATAAAGACACCACTCGTATAAAATTAGAGCCCACCCTAATGGCCTTATTAACTTGATTATCTCTGGAAAGACTTTATCCTCAACAAATGTTACATTCTGAAGAACAAAGGGTTAGGACTCAAGTGTGCTTTCTTCCCTGGGAGGTGGACACAATTCAAGTCATAACAACCTCTGCAGAGACGTGTAGGAAAGTATGAAGGCGAGTCAGTTGCCTTTGAGGTGTCTTCAGCCTCCTGCTTCTTCAAGGTCTCTGGTGAATGTATCTGATTGGTGGAACCTGGGTCGTGAACCTGTGCCCTGCTGCAGGGCAGGCTGGGAAATGCAGTTTCTGACTTCTCACCTTGGGGAGGATGGGTGTCTAATGTGGGGTTTTACCCAAATACAGGAAGAGCCTTCAAAGGATTCATGGGAAAGTGGCCACAGAGCACAGGAGGAGTCCACTATGTAGGTGCTTTCAGATTTTCTCCAGAGGACCCGAAAGCAGAGAATCAGAACAACCATGCTGATGTTTTGTCTCTGCTTTAGTGCCTGGTGTTGTGTGCTGCCCACTGCAGAGTCCAGACATTGGTGACCACAGAAGACATCTGGCAAGTCTAGAAAATGGTAAACAGCTAACGTTTAATAAGCATTTACTATGTGCCAGGAATTTTCCTGAGCTCCTTACATGCTCCTTACTTGCCTCATTTCATCCTCGAAGCAGCCTTAGGAGGCAGAACTGATGATTACCTCCCTTTCCCAGGTAAGAAAACGGAGATGCTGAAGGGTCAAGCAACTACTTAGTGGGTGAGATTAGAACCCAGCTATTTCAATCTGAGACTGAGAGCTTAGCCACTTTGCTCCCTAAGAGATGGAAGAAGATGATGCAAGATGGGGGAAAAACTCCCGGCCAGGCTGTGGGGCAGGTGGGTGAATGCTATTAAGTCATTTGTCCAGGTGGCAACCTGGGAGCTCACCAGAGCCACCCCTGTGTGGCAGATACATTGTCTCACACTCTCTGTGAGCCAAGGTGGGTGTGATGTCGGTGTGAGGCACCCCTGACGAAGTCCTCGGGAATCCTGGGAGGGAGGCGTGGGAGGAGGCGGGGGGAGGAGCGGGGGGAGGAGGGTGGGAGTGGTGCGGGCTGGCCCAGGAGGCCCTGCCTGGCGTGGCTGAGGACGGCTTGCGTCAGAGGACGCTGGGCAGGGCGGGCCCCCAGCTGGGCCCTTGCCAGGGTGCTGCCTGGAGAGAGCTGGATGTTCCCCAAGGTTCTTCCCCAGGGACCCAGAGGAGCAGCTGGGCTTTGGAGGGGCCGGGGGGCTGCCAGGGCAGACCCTCTGTGTTCAGAGCCTCTGTGTTGCATCAGGGGCTTCCCTGGTGGCTCAGGCAGTAAAAAATCTGCCTGCACTGCAGGAGACCTGGGTTCAACCCCTGGGTCAGGAAGAGCCCCTGGAGAAGGGAATGGCAACCCACTCCAGTATTCCTGCTTGGAGAATCCCAGGGACAGCGGAGCCTGGCAGGATACAGTCCGTGGGGTTGCAAAGAGTCGGACACGACTGAGTAACTAACACAGACTCAGGTCCCTGCCGGGACACCCAGAGGCAGAGACCTGGAACCTCTGTACTCGTGTCTGCCCTGCGCCATTGGATGTTGGAGTGTTGCTACTTCTAATACTTTGGGTGGGGCGGGGTGGGGGTTGTGGGAAAAGGAGCAGAGGGAGACAAAAGTGAATGAGACACCTTTCCAAAGCCCCAAGCGTGCCTCCCTGGAGATCTTCTCTGGCCCTGGCCCTTAGGACATTCCAAGTCCAGGGAGTAATTTCAACAGTGTGCACGCACGAGGGGTGTCTGTCATTCACCTGTGAGCTCCCCTTTTGAGAGAGATGGGACCAACCTGTCAGCCTCCCTTTTCAAAGGGAAACAGGGTACATGGTGGTAGGTGGACTTTTCTTAAAAGGAAAAGAAGAGAAGGGTAAAGAGCATTTTCCTTTAGCACTGATAATAAGGTAAGAATAGGATGCTTTCCTATATACTAGCAGAACATTTCCAAAACATACAAGAGTAACAAAAGTAAGAAAGAAATGTGAAGGAAAAGAAATTATCCATTGGAAGTTTTTTATTTTTAAAAATTTTCAGAGGTTTTTATTACACTAGGTGACTGTGATATGAAAAATGAGTGTTAGTCACTTAGTCATGTCCAACTCTTTGTAATCCCTTGGAATGTACCTCTATTGATGGATTTCTCCAGGCAAGAATACTGGAGTGGGTTGCCATTCCCTTCTCCCAGGGATCTGGGTCTCCTGCATTGCAGGCATACTCTTTACTGTCTGAACCAGTTAATAAAATAGATCAGCTTCAAAAATGTTTACAAATGTCAGTGATATTCCAGAGTTTTAAAACCAAGTTAAATCCACAATAACATGAAAAATAACCAGGGTGCCCTAAGGTTCAAATATCTCCTCCCAGATAAGAAGCAGAGAAGGGGGATATTCTTAGAATTTAAAGAATGAGGTGGGGCCAGGGTTACCAGATAAAATACAAGATGGCCTGCTGCATGTAAATTCTAGATAAAACAATGAGCGTTTTGTTAGTGTAAAAGCGTGGTCCAAATATTGCATGGGAGATACCTATATGAAAAAAAAAATTATTCATTGTTGAACTGAGATTCAAATTGAGCTGGGCATCATGTATTTTCATTTGCTCAATCTGGCCACATTGGATGGGCCTCCCATCCACCCCAGTAGGGGAAGGCAGAGAAGTGACTTCTGGAAAAGAGTCTGGCCTGTTTGCCTGGTGCCTCGTGTCGGAGACTCCAGGGAGACCAGGCCTCTGGCTCCAGGCCTCCCTCCCAGGGCCCTGGGAAAAGGCCCTGGGCCTCTTCTCGGAGCTTTGCCTCCCTGGAGGGAATAGGCAGGGCCCAGCAGCTGCAGAAGGAAGCCTGGAAAACAACCTGGAAACAATTCAGGCTTCTCCGGGCAGCTGCCAACGGATCTACAAGTGCGCCAGGGCCCCCAGGCCATCTCCCGTGGGCTTGAGAGGTCGCCCTGACCGCCCCCACGCCCCCGCCCCCCGGGAGTATAGTAACACTGAGCCACACCTCAGCTGACCCTGTAGATGGGCCAGCCTGCACTGACCTCTCCTTCAGGCCCAGCACTGAATTGCCCCACATTCTCTGGGGCTGAGGTCATTGAATGCCTGTGGGCCTTTCCTGCAAGGCTGAGGTGCCAATCCGTGGGCATCTGCTGGGCGACTAGTTGTGTGTGCTGCCCACAGGTACCCTGGGGAGGGGTCTGCTCCCCAGGAGCCCAGGGAAACCCCTGATAACGAAGGTCCTGCGATCCCTCCCCTGAAGGTGAGTGGAGCCTGCCTGCCTGAGGCCTCTGGGCCAGCCGAAGACCCTGCAGGCCCTCTGCCCCCTGCTCAGGGGCCTTCCTCCCAGAGCTGTGTGGGAGCTGCTCTTGTGTCCTTTCCCAGCGAACAAGGAGGGGAGGGGAGAGAGCGGGAGGAGGGGAGAGAGCAGGAGGAAAAGGGGCAGGCCTGCCCTGGGAGGTCTCAGCTTGAAATGTTGGATGGGAGCACTCACTGGGGTGTTGAGAAAGGAAGGAAGAAAGGACAGCTTACGAGAGAACCTGGCTTCGATAAGTATCTCCTCTGAGGTGCTTTTAGTCCCAATTTTTACAGAAGATGAAACAGAGGCCCAGAGAAGTTGTGGAGTCTCTCTCTGGTCACACAGAAATGCTAGCCTCAGAATTCCCAGCCAGACGTCTCTGAGTCTTAAACCTGGGTCCACTCTGTGCCTCTCTGCGGCCCAGGAGAGTTCCGATCTAGTTCAGGAGGAAATATCTCCTGTCAACTCTGTTTTCTACTGTGTTAGGTTCCTGCCTCCTCTGCTACCCCTAAGACTTGGCTCATGACTGAAATTTCCACTTGAAAATCATGCTGAGAGGAAACAGCTGTACTTCTCTGTGTCCACGCCAGGAACCCCATCTCCTGGGCTCTCGACCCTCCTCTCACAGAGCTGAGTGAGTGCTTGGGCAAGACCATGGTGGTCTCTCGGCAGCACACTGGGGATTGTCCCTGGTCCCTGCTCTCGCATGGCTCACTTGGTGATTCCTGATGGGCTGCAAGCCAGCCTCTCAAACCCAGCCTGTGTGGTGGGTTGAGTTTGGTTAAACTGGAGGATATAGGCCACCATAATGCACCATGCCTACCCCCCGGCTGACGCCGTGACTTGTCCCTGCCACCTTAGCCCTTCTTAGATGTCTCCCACAGAGGGCTCAAGCCTTCCTTATCTTGGGCATTTCTCAGAGTGTCTCTGGCACTCCAGCCCCCTTGGGTCACCATTCCACCCCCTCAACACCTCATAGCAGTAGGATGACAAGAAACTTCTGAGAATGGTGGGGAGAGCGTGGGGGCTGAGAGGTGAGAGGGAAGGCTCTGCTTCTTCCCGTCATGAACTTCCTTTATTGACTCACCCGTGTGTGTTGGCTGGATGGGGAAACACGAGAGGAGATGGAGGCTGGTAATACCAGCCTGGTGGCTCTTGGCTCCAAGTCTGTTCCCAGATGTTTGTTAACCAGACGTTGTCAGAAAGGACTTCCAAGCTCTACTTGCACCTCCTCTGCTGAGGGTTGACTCAGTAGCATTTCTCAGAAGCCCCTTTCTTCTGTCACAGCTTGCAACTCCTCTGAGACTCCAGAAACATCCAGCCTACGCAATGTCTTTTCTTGACTGAAGTGTGGCCATTGGAACCATACTGCCTGGCTTCCCATCCTGGCTCTGAACCCTCTCAGGCTTGGGGGTGATCCTCAATCCCTCTCTGCCTCAGATCCCTCGCCTCTGATGTGGGGATGAGAGCATCTATGGCCCAGAGTTGTTATTGGGATTGCAATGTTATCAGCTGTAAAAGCCTGAAAATTGTACCTGGTACATGGTAGGTGCTGTGGAAGTGTTAGCAGCTGTCTTATTATTACTATTACGGTTATTTTCTTTCTCCTCTTCCCTTTCCTTCCACGTGTCTAGTCCAGTCCTTATCAATGGTCTGTCCTCCAAAGCCTCGGGGGGCTGGCTGGGCAGAGCTGTGCTTACAGAGTGGCGTGGGGGCCTTGGAAGGCTGGAGACTCTCGCACAGAGATGAACATGTGCCTCTGAGAAGGGGTGGGGACCCCTGCAGATGGGTCTGAGGTGGGAAGGAGCAAGTCACCCTCTGCTGTACTGACAAGAGTACAGCTGCCTACAGCAAGGGGCGTGTCTCCTGGTGGTGAGGGAACTTCGGTTCGGGTCCAGATAGCTCAGTTCAGAGAAAAACGCATCAGTCAGAGGACTTCTGAGTGTGTCCAGATGGAAGTGAGGCCGCACACCTGGTCTCTCACCTGGGATGAAACTGTGCAACTCCGATGGAATTCAAACCCAGCCCAAACTCTGACTGAGATTTGAACCCATGAGTTGGGACTTGAACCCACTGTCTTTTCATTGAAATCACACACCTGGTCTCAG